TCAAATGACATTATTAGATCGTCTCCATGGTAACATATGTCAAAATTACTATAGTCAACTGTTTTTGTTCAAATGGCACCCTATATATTTTTTTATCAATTCTGGAAGATATTTTTTTCTGCGTTCAACTATGTAAGGAAGTCTATAGTTTCATTAGAAATATTGCTAGAAAAACAGCAGAACAGATGCACCCTACTTTTCGTAGCTTTATTCTGAAAAATGATAGCAAGCTGCAAAAACAAGTTACTATGTTTTTATTATTTTTAATAATACTAATAAAAACCTAATTTGTTTTGTGGAAAATTTGAAGTATAGAATTTTTTTATAATTTATATTTATAAAAGAATTATGTTACTATATGTACCTGTATTAGTAAATAAGATATAATATAATAATAAACTTACTTTGAAATAATGTTTTTTCTCGTTTCGAGGTTCTGCATTAGCCTAGAAAAATATGTATTGATTAGCAGCATTGAAGAAAATTATTGTAATATTTTTGTATAGTACAAAATTTTTAATTATTCACAAAATTTGTATTTAAAATGGTATATTTGAGAAAAATGGTAGGGTTATTTTATTTTGTATAAAAAATAGTGTTATTAAATTTTATATTACTCTTGGGAAAATTGTAAAAGATGTCTTTATACAGGGTGATTCAGTCATAATGTCATTAATTTTAAGAGCAGATAGAGAAAAATGAGTATAATACGATGGCGTGATTAAAAAAAAATTTAAATGCATATTTAAGCTGAAAAAAAATATTTTCAAATCATTATTTAACCCCCTTTTCAGGCTGTTACTGACCGGCTGACGTCACAATATTATGCACGGCTACGATATGAACCTATGAACAACGCGCCCTAGATGCAACGTTGCCATATTTATATATTTTCGCTCATATAAAGACAATAAATAAACGGTTTTGCTCACGTCAACCAATAATAATTTAAAATGCTATAAATTATTTTTTATTTATGCAATCAACATATTAAATTGTTATTGTTGCCCAGCAAGAACCTCGAGGTCTGAGCATGCCTTGCCAAAAATCAGTTTTTATTAGCATCATAATTTTAATATTTTAACAACATTTGCTGTAAGCCCGAAGGGGAAGGTTTTCAAACAATTCTACTAAAAATTAGTAACGCGGCCCATTCAGATGTTCAGGTAGAAAATGCGGCCCAATTAAACGATCGCCATTGACATTGACACCGAATCTCCTCTGAAAGCTATACCACCGACGAGTAGTGTGCGGGTAGTAGTGTGTTTCATCTGACCAAATGTGACTATTATGGCTGCAAAGAAATTAGCTGTTTCACTTTAAATAAGATTTAATATTGAAGTTACAAAACCCCAAAAGTTCAAATAATTTAAATTTCATTTCATAACCATTTCAATTTCGTTACAGAAATAATGTCATAAAAAACCAACACTCACTAGATAAATTATAAAGAGAGGATAAATTGTATGCAGTATTTAAATATTGACTGCAATTAGAAGAGAGACTTGTATATTCCATAAAAAAACAATGGGACGGAGACAAATAAACAACTCGGTACGTCGTGTTTCCGACCTAGGGTAACCTGTGGTTCAGTAACCTTTTAACCCAGTTTTAATTTGCACACGTGCACCATATAGTCCAGGAGCCCGATGTGCAAACAACTTATTCTTAAATATTTGACCTCTTGAATCCAAAGAAACTTGGTCGCAAAGCCTGAAAGTGGTCAGTTTAATTGTTATCAACAAATTAAATGTTTAAATGGCTGTAAAAAGTTTATTTTTATAGCTAGTACAATTTATTCGCTAATAGTTACGTTTTCTCATAACAAATATGTATTTTTTTGGAAATTAAAAAAAATTAACTTTAACCAAAGTTATTGCAAATTTAGTGCAAATTTCTTACATTTTCCGTCTCCGTGCGCACTAATTTTACCATATCTGGTTCTAAGTTCCATTTATTTATTAATTTATTTAATAATTAATGGCATCTTAGAAAGTTGTGAAATTTCAACGAAAATGCCGGTTTTAATTGTTTATAAGGTTTTTTTTATTATTCAACTTCGACGAAAAGCCAAAAAAGTTACCGGATATTGTTCTTTGCATTCTAACAATCAAGCAAGGCATGAAATCATTGTTAGGATGCGAGGAACAATAACCGGTAACTTTTTTGGCTTTTCATAAAAATTGAATAACAAAAAAAGTTTTATAAACCAATAAAGCCAACATTTTCGTTGAAATTCCACAACTTTCTAAGCTGCCATTAATTTTTAAATAAATTAATTAATCAATGGAACTTACCTATCTTGTAAAATAAAGTTTAAGTTTTAAAATGAGATGTGCGTCTCAATCCGTCCAATTGAACCAGAGATATGGTAAAATTGGTGCGCGCAGAGACGGAAAATGTAATATATTTGCACTAAATTTGCAATAACTTTGGTTAAAGTTAATCTTTTTTTAATTTTCAAAAAAATATATGTTTGTTGTGAGAAAACGTAATAATTAACAGATAAAAAATTGTACTAGCTATAAAAATAAACTTTTTACAGCCATTTAAACATTCAATTTGTTAACAACAATTAAACTGACCACTTTCAGGCTTTGCCACCAAGTTTTTTGGTTTCGAGAAGTCAAAATACTTAAAAATAAGTTATTTGCAGCCGTGGAATTCTGTTTGGCTACGGAAACCTATCTGGCCCCTAGCCCCTAGACTAATACGAGTGTAGTAGCAAAAAGTTGTCGGTCTTTTATCAAAGGAAAATCGTATCAACAAATTTAATTTAAAATCTAAAATACCGGCTGTTTTCGTAGTAGCTGTAGTCGCCCAGGTGCATCGAGTGTACGAAGTGGTCGGTTATATGTCAAATACTAACCTGGCGAGCTTGAACCTGAACTTGGCAACGCTGTTCCTTTAGCCGACAACTGTTCGTGACATTACGTTACAAAATTTTCCGAGCATCCGGGCATCGGCAGGGCAGCCCTCGTAGCGGGAGTTATGGGTTGATTTCCTTCATTTTTAAAAGTCGAGTAAACAATTTTTTTTTCCGATTTTCTGTCTTTATTAAGCCTTCCGAATACGTGGTTAAAATTAATGACATTATGACTGAATCACCCTGTATACTATATTTTTGATGTAATATTAGGTATATTAATATTTATTTTAATTTTTTGTTTTAAAAAAATATTTTTTAAAGATGTTTATAATAATGATATTGTATATTAAGTATAAGTATATTAATAATTAAGTTTAAGTTTAATAATTAAGTATTAAGTATATTAATAATTAAAAATATTTCGTAATATTATAATTTAAATAAAGAATTTGATTGAATCAAGTGTTGCTTTGAAATACGTATATGTATTGTATAATTTGTCAAAAAAAATTTAATTGTAAATTATGAACATTGTGGGAAATTATCATGTTGTATGTAGCTTTGTAATTTTATGTAGTGGAATAAATTTGTTAGTTGTTAAATAAGGGGATAATATTGTATTTATTTTATGGTTATTTTCAAAAAGTTTTATTGAAATTAATGGTGGCGCTTTATCACCGGCTGCATTTGCTTTGCACACATTAAAACGGTGGTGTTCTCTCGGCCAGGTGAACTAGCGGTTCGGAAACAAGCAACTCCTCTTAAACCCACAACTGTACATTTTGACGGATCAATGGAAAAGTAACTTTCAACTTTCATCCAAATTCCACATTTGATTTGGTTTGTTGTTCAAATCTAGATCTTTCAGCGTTGTTTCTAGTAAATCGAAATACATATTTGTATATGATGAAAGGATCAGTTGCTTTTCTGTGAGCAAACTCGACTGCCTATGGAACCTTTAAATAAGTTGTTGTGTTTTTCGAAATTAATAAACCAATCTGGGCCCGGCACATTGTTTTTGAAAGGGGTTTTGATGTTATTTTTAGTGACATATTCAGCGACTATTTCTAGGACCTCCTTCCGACTTAACCCAAATCCCCATTTTTCGAGGCTCGTAAGTCCAAGGACAAGCTTTTGTTCTTCCGTCGATGTGAGTGCAGATGTTCTACCCTTGCCAGAGCTTTTCACTCCGCGTAAACCCTTTTGGTGACTATATAGGGTACTATATGAGATGTTAAAAGCTTTGGAAGCACGGTACATTGTCATGCGCTTAGCCATTTTAGTGACATCAAAATAGGGCAAGTGTAATATACCTGGATCAACTGGGGTAAGTGTGATATAACACATTAGCCACGCACTTCAAAATGTAGGGGGCAAATGTGCGATAAGCTTGTATAGAAAAAAATTAAACACATTAAAAATATGCAATACGCTAACCAAAATATATACTTAATTCGCCCTTAAGCCAGAAATATATTTGCCTACCTTTATTTTTACGGGTTCTTATCACAGCACAAATTCCTACCTGTTGCACTTCATAACAGCTGTTCGAAAAATGACAAAATATTTTTTGACAATTGACAGAACCATGCATGCACCAAGTTGGTAGTGTGTTCAGAAATGTAGCATCCGTAATGAAAGCCACTCTGAACTCTCAAATTTTTGCGTTTGTTAGAATTCAGGTCAACTATTACATTTACCCCAACTAACCTTATATCAAAAATGCCACACTGCAGGCTTCTTGTTGCTTTCTTCAGTGGAAAATGTACTAAACATATAAGAGGTAAAAATTCTTCTGTCAAAATTCATATTTTTTCTTCCAACTACCTAAGACGCACCTACCGCACTATTAAGGAGGTGATTTACGCCTATTCCAGTAAATTACTAGAAATTGTCTGTTAAAAATCGTCAGTGCCATGCGCTAATTGTTCGTGCACATATTCCAGGCAGTTTTCCAACATTTCCAGTGGTTTGCTAAAAGAGACCTATTATGACAGGAGATTGGACTGAGCTGCAGAAGCAAATGGATGTGCAAGATTTTCGAATCCGTCGTTAGTTTTATTTCAATATTCATAGCTAAAAATAGGAAAAAATGACTGATTAAGTATTGGAAACAATTTCGGGTCTTAACGTTCTGCTACCTTCTTGTTTCGCTGAGGGTTGATGTACTTACCCTGATCTTAAAAAAAAAGGTCCAAGTTGGAAGTGCAAAACCCTAAGCTAGCCTTCAGCCGGAGCTGGTCGTGCGGTCAATCTTTGAGAGGACCGTTTAGTTTAAGGGCGCCAGTAACCATTTACCCTAGGGTTCTAAGCTACTCAATATTCGGTTACTAAATATTGAGTTCAAAGATAATATTGACCCAAAATAGCTTATTTAGCAACTAGTAGCAACACCTAATTCAGTTATATTTTAGTATGCTCAATTCACTAAATTAATAGAACGAAATAGTTCAATTACTAATATTTATTAACGTTATTACGTTCAAATCACAACTAAAGTATCTAAGTCGACGATACCAATAAAATAAATGAATATAAATAAATGAGAATAAATCTCAATTGGGAGACCGCTCGTGATCACGATAGGTGGACAATTGTTATATCTATCATTAATCCTTATCTAATTCTCTATAAACAAATTGAATAAACGATATTAGTAAGAAAAA